TAAAGATTGCTTTTAAACAGGTGCACGGAACAGAGACTTACTTTATCAATGGACTTATAAGAAAATTTCCTAAATATTGTAACTAAAATATTTCTTATAAAAAACATTTATTCTTTATAATTCATATGTATAAACTAATAATATATCATTAGTATTAATTTAAATTAAACCATAAAAAAATATTTAAGTCTTTGAAACTAGCACAGATTTCTTTACCAACTTAAGCCTATATACATATTTCTATGATTTTATTAATAAATATTTTAATAATTCTTTCAAACAGGATCCTCATAATAATTCGTTAATTCTGAACACTATATATAGATAGTTAAATAACCACAAATCTGTAGCCACATGTTATATTTTTTGTAGCTGCGCATGCGCACTGATTGATCTGAAACACATTTCGTTAACAAAAACTCAGTAAGCACCTGTAACGGACGTACATTTCCGATATAACAGAAATTTTAAATATTGTATATATAAAAATATTTATAGTTCAGAGGCTGGGAAAAATAACATTATCTAAAAATTCCATTGTAGGTACATTAAAAACAAAACTCATATTTTTTTATGTATATCTTAGTTTAGTATATCGATTAAAGTATTGGTATTAATAACCAAATCATTTTTTTTTCATTTAAATCTTTAAATAAATTAAAGTTTTAAATGTTTAAAAAAATAGGATTTTCAAGGATAGTTATAAGATGTTATACCTAAATGAAGTACATAATATTATCTATACTAATATTATAAAGCTGAAGAGTTTGTTTGTTTGTTTGTTTGAAAGCGCTAATCTCCGAAACTACTGGTTCGAATTGAATAATTCTTTTTGTGTTGGATAGTCCAGTTATCGAGGAAGGCTGTAGGTTATATAACATCACGCTACGACCAATAGGAGCAAAGATGTAGTGGTAAATGTGTAAAAAACGGGAGAAATTATTTCATTTTTGAAGCCTTCCGTTGCTTGCGCCGTGAAAACGGTTCAAGATACACAAAAAATATTTGTTAAAGAATAATAGCTCTTTTAATGATCTAAAAAACAGTCCGCGACAGTATATGTCTATCTTTTAAGATTAACTCATAAAAACCGTTTTTATGGTACCTAATTTGGTCGAAATAATTTGTTGAAGTTGTATCAACATAATGATATTAATCTTTATTCAAATAAACAAATAAATATGTTGTTGGTTAAGAGTACTTCATTGTGAATAAAAAAAACATAGGTTTTATCCTGAAAATTCTACGGAAACTCGACCATTCCGAAAACCCCGCAAGAACGGGAACTATGTGGGAAGAACCAAAAATCTGGCGGAAGTCACTATTCCACGCGGACGGAGTCGCAGCAAAAGCTAGTTCATTATAAAATATTATTTTGTTTTAATTGAACCCGCAGAAAAATTAACTTTGACTCCAATCAACGGTATTACTAACACAAATCTTCATTTAAATGAAACTAATATTATTCGGATTATACTACGCGACTTTATTTTTCATAAAAACTACATACTCCCGACGTTTCGGCTACTTTTCAGCAAATATGATCACGGACAGACGAGATTTGAATAATATTGTTTACTATTATAAATACGTGAAAGGCTTAGATCTCATTACTTTTACATCGTTTATATACTCGTAAACCAAAGCTTCAACGTTTTTACTACGAAAACAATCGAATACATAACGACTGTATACAATAGAAAGTCAGTGGTGGCCGAGTGGTTAAAAGTTCCGCCTCTTATACATGAGGGCGCGGGTTCGATCCTGATCCTGGCAAGTACTAATGTGATTTTTCCGAATCATGTACTTTCTAAGAGTATTTAGACATCACTGATTAATGCATTTCCAAAGAGGGTTGATGTCAGGCAGGCGTCCGGTCGTAAAACAAATAGCCAAAACCATTCATACCATGTAAGGCAGACCCTGGCTAAAGCTGGGAAATTGCCAGGAAGAAGAAAAAGAACAACTGTATACAATAGAACTAGAAGTCATGCTTTTGTTTACTCTTAGTAATCTAATTTGAAAATAATATAATTGTAAAGAAAACTAAAAAGAAAGATTATTTTATATCATAATATCTTTTTCGCGATTTATTTATATTAACGAAATCACGTCATATTACCTACAATTAATCTACATATTAAATATTAAGGCACGCTTTTAAAAAAATAATTTAACATTCATATTCATTTCCATCTTCTTAATGAAACTTTATTTTTCGGATTACTTAGCAGGAACCGAAACGTCGGGAGTATGTTCTTAAAATAATAAAATACGCGTATTAATCCGAAAAACATTAGTTTCATTTAAATGAATACTCGCGAAAGTATTAGATCTCATTTTAAAACAAATTATTACTAATAATAAATAATTATAATTTTATGTAACGTTAAATTAACAAGTTAAAATTAACTATAATACGACTTAGTTTAACGCGATCAAATACTCGTATAGTTAAATACAACAAAATTGCTTTATTTAAATGAATTCTTATCTTGAAAATCTAACATTATATTATATTTAAAATCTATGTTTTGTGTATGATTTTAAACATTGAAAGAGATATTTTTTTATAACTAAACAAAATAAGATCAAATCTATAATAAACATTTTTCTGTATAGAAAAAACTAAATAAGCTTTTGATTTTTTAGCAATTAATTTATTTTGTAACGTATAATCAAATGTTATACATATGTATATAATTACTTAAGATTTCCAAATAACTTAAAATTAGACCAGAAAAAGGAATAATTGAATAGCTTAACAGAAAAATATTGCAATATATAAGTAATAGCCAATAAATGTAACTAATATTCGGATTACCACGCGTTATTTTATTATTTAAAAAACTACATACTGCCGACGTTACGTTTTCATTTATACGAAAAATCACGAAAATCTTAAATCTCATTAATCTCAAATAGCTGTTAATGTATTGACATACAAACATACGGGTGAACAGATTATTTTATGTTAAAAATCGGTTCAATTCATGAATTTACCGCCATTATTCATCTTTACCTTCTAATTATAACAAATAGATTTTTGTTTTCATGATAATGTATTCAATCCACGAGAAATGTTTTAAAAGCAAGCTATAATTCCGTATTTTAATTACTGATATTCAAAATAAAAATAAAATATCATTCTGATATTTTAAACCTTGAAATAGATTACACGAAAAAGTTTCTTTGAAATAGGTTTTAATAAACGCTGTAGTGGTATGAATCACGATCATTTTACTTTATTATTCACAAATTCTGTATATCATGAATTTTAAATAAATATTAAATGAAAAAACCCTAAATTAAATGCCTCTAGTTTTCCGAGCGTTTCGAGACTTCGAACACAAACAGAATTCAGTTTGCCAAGCAATTTATAATTTACAGCATTCTCGGCGCTTCAGTTACAAAAATAAAAGTAAACAATAAAAAGCAAAAGGCGCCAAACACAATTTTCCACAACAAAACTCATGCGCGCCGGAAAGTAGCGTTTGTTTCCCGCCATCCGGCTGATCGACCAACCGAAATTTGCCGCCTAAAATCGACCAGCCAATCACAGCACTGGCCGCCATTTTCGACCAATCAGAGACGAGCCCGCGCTCTCGCCATCGCGTCATTGTCATATCTCGAAAATTAGTACGCCAGTGCAGTGAACCCCGACGGTAAATTGAAGATTTTCCTGAAATTCTTATATAAAAGATAGTTGGTAAGTTAATATTTTGGTTAAATTTGTAACAATAACATGTCTGCTACCTATTAACACTACTCACTATGAAATTTTTCAATGCTCTTAATTAATATTTCACAATTTTCACTTACAAGCACTGGTTAAAAATCTAAAAATTATTTTCTACATTGCATGTATATTAATTTGTAATATAAATTGTTCCATGTTATTTTATAGCCATTTTGTTATCTGTAATATTGTTATAATATGCGTTAAATTGTATCCTAAAATTCTTGTCTCCGTTTAGCAAAATGGCGGCGTCGATGTTGAGTTATTTATATATTTTACGTCTCTTTCTGTGATGCGTGCGCGTGCGTGCGAGCGACAGAGATAGCTATACTTCTGATAAGAAGTTTTAAAGTATGCTGCACACGTAACTAGACACGTCTTCGTTCTTCGTAAACAAGTCTGATTAGTGTTGCCATAATCACACATAATTCATTACTACCAAAAAGTTGGGAAAATTTTCAGATATGGGTAATGATTAATTATTTTATTTATATTCATGATGTTCATTTGGAATTATAAAATAAATATGACAGAAATAAAATGATTGTAAAGCAAAAATATATGTTTTAATTTTAAAGTTGTAATAAAAATAATACATATTAAATATTAATGTATTTTTTTTAAATATATTTTCTGGTAAATAAATTCTTTATTAAAATTTTTAAATTATTTCTGTATTCGTTTTAAAATTTAAGGGTAATTATACTTTTAAATATATATTTTTATATTAAATTTTATAAGTATATTAGGACATAAAATATCGCAATACCGATTGCAAATACGACTGTAAAAAAGTTGCTTCTAAAAACCAATAAGTGTTTTGTATATAATATAGTAAGACTTTTTTAATAAGAATAAATATAGCTTATTGGAATAATATAACTTGAAATTGATATAATGTCCAACCAGAAAAAAATATTTTTTATTCTTTAATTAAGGTTCTAAAACCAAAATAATAATAACAAAAAACTTAAAATTTTAGATCTTTGCCTTAAAATAATAGTTAGAAATTAAAAAAAATAATACGCTTAATATAACTAAGTAGCGGCACACCGCGTCGAGCGGTGGTACTAAGATGGCGGACGCATTTGACCGACGCTACGCAACGAATTGAATCACGCGCTTGTGACTAAAGTCGAGTTAGTAGTGAGTAGTCAGTCGGCAGGCGAATAGCGCACCGCGTGCACGCGTCACAAAACTTTGTTTACGATACACTTGTAGTGAAATGATATTCTGAGTTCATATTTGTTGATAGTTGCGGATGACAAGTGTATTCGGTGGACTGAACATGTCTGCGTTGAGTGTGAGAGCGCCGGGGCTGCAGGCCACCGCTTTGGACACTAGGTCTCTTAGAGTGCATGGCGTTACGACCTTGGATGGAGTTAGGAGGAACCTGTTCGGTTGTACGGATAGAGAAGAGAACAGAAGGTTTGTGGAGAGAGAGTTAGCTAGGCAGTTGGAGCTTGACAGTCAAAGATGGGGCTTCGACTTCGCCAACGAACAGCCTCTGCCAGGAGCGCAAAGATTCGCTTGGCAATTGGTACCAGCGTCGAGTATACCGGCCGCTTTAAGAAGATCCCCGATTACCATCACACCCAAGCCGAAGCAAGCTCAAGAAACGATGGTATCCAGTCCCGAAAACACCAAAACGCAGAAGAGAATAACAGGTCAGTACATTTTACTACTTATATTAATACCCAATTAAAAAACGCGTACATAATATAACAAGGGTTAGTACTGAACGTCATAATGTTTTGTTTTCTTTTTGTTTGCGAAATACATTTATCGTACAAGACGCATACACAAGGTCATAGTAAAGTGATTGACATGCTCTCGTGCATTAACACGAATTTTTTAAGTCAACTGCATTTATTCACACTACAATACAAAATTATTTATATAATTTTTATAATTCAACTTTATTTCAATTGACGGTCACCCATCCGATGTTTGACTTTTCGCGGTGTTGCTGAACATGCTTATAAATTTTATACAATAACTTGTGATTATTAAAATAAATTAGTAATATAAAAAAAGCAATAAATATAAAACAAGATAATAAAAACAAACAGTTGTTGTTACGGTAAATTACAACTCCTTGTTACGCAAACGACTAACGTAAAGTTATTCTTACATTTAATTCTCAACAATCTACATTACACCATCTATTTGCGGTAACAACTATACATACATACATACATACTCCCGATGAGATTGTCTGCCCGTGATCACGGTTGCTGTAAAGTAGCCGAAACGTCGTGAGTATACTTTATAGTCAAAAATAAAAAATCGTGTAGTAAATCCTAAAATATTAGTTTCATTTAAATGAATACTCTCGAAAATCATAGATCTAACTATATTACTGTTATTCCAATGTTCATTATTCAACTTATAATAAGTAATAAATGATTTGAGTCTTGGTACTATATTGAAGCCATTAGCGATGCCCTAATCTTAGTGTCGGGTTTACAAATTTGAGACGACACCACAAATAAATTGGTCCATTACAGTCATAATACGCTCAGGTTACAAGTCTTTATCGAGACACACTCCAAGTATATCATACATAAAAACTATATATAATAATAGTCAAAGAAAGCTTTAATTAAATACAAATTAATTTTTTGTTTCACAACTTCCTTGTCCAACCCCCTTACCCTTACACACTTTTTGTCCATTTCGGTGTCGAAATCTTAGTTACGACTATTATTACGTAATAATTAATACGTTATTAAAAATTAATATTAAATGAGTCTTTTGTTATATAATTTTTAACAGTCCCCCTGAGATGTGCAAAAAACTGTTTACTATACATCTGACCTATATTTAGTATAATAAAGGATCTCCCACATTCGCTTACGGGCCACATGTTATAAAAATATTAATACTTATAAACAAACAAGATTATGTATAGCTTTATAAAAAATTATATCAAATTTGGGTAAAATATGATAATCATTTTGATAAGTGAAAATCTTCAATGGAACGTCCTTGCTGTTAAGATATTAAAACACAAGTCGAGTTAGCAAATAATACGCACTATAAAATTTAATATATTGAAAAAATAAAATTATATATAGGTACTTTATATTAAAAGCCATATTAAAGAAAATTACTAAGTAATTAATTTCCGAGTAAATTCAATACAAGAGTAATAAGTCTTTTAGTCAGGATTATCATTCATTTTGTATTTAATTTTCATATAAAATTTCTATTAAATACATACGATACTATATTTATACCAACATCGTTAATATACGATGACAAAGACAGCTGGTTGAAATCAAAGTATTAGAAGCAGATGTAATTTATAATCTTAAACATAGCTATGTAAATGGGGTCACAGAATACTTTGTCTAAAACTGACCAGGCATAAAATCACAGCGGGGGTACTAAGAAATAACTCGGTCACCCAATTTCTAAGACCCCTGTTCTACTTAATTACACCTTTGCCAGTGTCATTGACCCCGACGTTTTCAATTTCGGCAATAAGTGGACCCAACTATTAAAGACTAAAGACTCTGTACGTAAAATGTAACAATTGTTCCGCGTTATATACGTTAGCGGACTCGATAGTGTTACTTTCACGAAATTTAAGCCGTTATTTTAGCTGTAATAAAATTTCATGCACAGTTCAAAAAGCTGTGAAAAATTCTTAGTAATAATGGAAACCCACGCTTTATATTTAACTAGCTCTCCGCCCGCAGATTCGCCCGCGTGGAGTTCGGTTATACCGCGTTTCCAAGATAACTAAACTAAAACTATGTTAGGTATGTTCTTCAAGGTCCACTCTATATCTGTACCAAATTTCATTAAAATCAATTCAGTGGTTTAAGCGTGAAAGCGTAACAGACAGACAAACAGACAGAGTTACTTTCGCATTTATAATATTAGTAGGGATGTAATTTCAAAGAGAAATAATAAATGTTATCAATAGTATAGTTTTAAAGTAAACCCAGTCGTATGTGTTAGGTGGAAGTTTCAATCAAATTTATTGGCGAGAGTGAATTCGTTGTAAATATTATTACTGCATTGTCTGGTAATGCAAGCGGCACGCGCACCCTTTATAATGCACCCTCGCCGACACAGATTCTAACGGTCCTATCGATTTTTTAACTGTCATTCCCCCAAACTATAAAATATTATATGTTTTATTAAATTATGTCTACTTTATCCATCACACACAAAAACTCTTTCATTATAGAATAAAAATATTTAGTACATTGTTTTTATATTTATTTTGTGTGATTAAATCCCCTATAAAACAAAAGATCATATCAAAAGTGTCGAAATGTTTAGCAAATCGTTTATAGTATCACATTTCTGTAACATACTCGCGAAATTGGGACTATGTGGGTGATTTTGAAACTGTCAACACACATGTGTTTGAATTTGAAATTTCGTGAGATAGGGGAACTAACGGCCAACGGCATCTGCCAGCCCCCGCGCTACAATATTTATAGCACCCTCAACATTCAGCATCGGGTGACCGAGGGTGCATCGCATATTGCATCCATATATATCACACAGAATTAGCTAAAATAAACGGAAATTACTAAATCGATTCGGCTAGCACTTGTCCGAGTCCGAGTAACAAAGTACGTAAAGTTCTCACGAAGTAACTCACGTGCGAACTAACCCTAAGGAAACATAATGTAAGATATGCTTCAGTGATCCCAACGACTGCTAACGTACGGATAAAAAGTAACCTTTCACAGCGACGTATACCAGAAATGAATCTACGACGCGCTCCATAACTTGATACACTAGAATCTAGATAGACATTGAGTTTTTCACTTTCCTTACACGATTACATGTAATCCGTGCTATTCCATAATACTAGTTAAAAATAACCACGTTTAAATCATTAAAGTAATTCAAAGCAGTATATTAACAAACAAACTCACTCAAATGTTATTGCGTTTCGCCTCAGAGCGGTGCAAGAGGTACTTTCTTATTCATAAACAATGGTAATGAATGTTACTATGTAGCTTAAACGTTGTAATCTTAACGCACTTTCTAACGTCGGAACAGAGGAAAGTGCACACGCGATCCAGCTAAACTGATACCTTAATATTGTTTGAGAATTTAGTCACATAATTTTATAATTAATACTAGCTTTCCGCTCGCAGCTTCGCCCGCGTGGAGTTCAGTTATATCGCGTTTCCAAGAGAACCTTTCAAAAGTCTGGGATAAAAACTATCCTATGTTCTTTCTCAAGGTCAACTCTATGTCTGTAACAAATTTCATTAAAATCAGTTCAGTGGTTTAGGCGTGAAAGCGTAACAGTCAGACAGAGTTACTTTCGCATTTATAATATTAGTAGGGATTTATCAGTAATAATTGAGGTTGACATTAAGTTTAACCCTTAACAAAACGTCCCAGAAACAGAAGACACCAGATTGTTCCAGACGGTGATTTCACTTTGAATGGGTACGTCTTCCTAGTTACTGAGCGTAAAATGTGATCTATTATTCCTGTGGAAAGCGAACAATACTTTCACTTTCATTCAAACATTGTCGATTTGATGGCTCTTCATTACGCTGACGTTTGAAATATGACAAAATTATTTGTCGTTAATATTATACCAATACATATAAAATGTAAACAAAATGGCATTACCGTACTGAATTTTAAATCATTCCCATAAACAAACAAAATAAAACACTGCCCTCATTTCAACGGATGGTGATCAAACTAAAAAACTAACATTGTTTCCCATGATAGATTAAACATTTAGGAGTTATCTATAATTTTCCCAATACGATCCAATTGGTGCAAGGGTAGATAATTGGTTATAAACTATATATCACCCTCGTTAAATGTTTCCCATGACGCCAATACTGTTAGGAACACGTGCGTAATAAATATTACTGAACTCCACGCTTCATAAGGTTTCCGTTACCAGATATTACGAATGGTCAATAACGAAACTTGTTACTAAGTTACAGTTAAGTCTCCAAAGAAGATAATAAAAGCAATATACACTTAGTGTCCGATAAGTGAAATCATTGCAATTTATATTCTTCTTCTTCTATCTGGCAATTGTTTTACGACCGGCCGCCTGCCTGACATCAACCCTCTTTGGGAATGCATTAATCAGTGATGTCTAAATACTCTTAGAAAGTAAATATGACTCGGAAAAATTACATTGGTACTTGCCAGGGCCAGGATCGAACCCGCGTCCTCGTACATGAGAGGCGGGCTTTTTAACCACTAGGTCACCATTGCAATTTATATTATATGCCAAATATGGTTTTCTTTGCCTCTTCATTAAGAATGTGATTCACGAAAGATAATAGTATATCGACATATATTTTTTTATGCCCATCAATCACGTTTCATTATTCCCAATTCACAATTCATTTTATTGTTCTAAACTACACGTCAGTTTCAATTCAGCGAGGCGTCGGATTTATTTTCCGACAGCTGTTAAAAAACAAAAACGGTATTGTCTATATATAAAAATAAATATGGCTTTGTTTTAATATTAATATAAACAGTTTCGTATAACGGTTGCTTGAGTTTCGGCCGTTAGGAAGATCCTAAATCTGAAAATCTATACTTTTTCTTTTACATACTTACTTTACGTATTTCGTAACGTGGGAACCCGAAAATAATTACAGTCGAGGAAACAGCGTAACGTAATTTACTTAGATTTCGGGAC